TTTACCAGCGCATCTGCAGATGCAGTGAAGTCCCAGGAGGCGAAGATGACTTCGGATGTTATAAAACAGTCAATCCGGTTCACAAATCTGTATCGAGTGATGATTAGACCACTCAGTGGTGGTTTGGAGTGCGTTACTAGTCTCTTTGCTTGACCCTATTTAGACCGATATTATTTTATGCTAAGTGTGATCCGGGGCGGAGTCTCTATAACTTGAAAACCACTCGCGATACGGGCTCTAATATTCCTCAGAATAATGCACTCATCATTTCCAAAATCTAAGCAAAAAATGACTGACGTAATGGCGTGCACCGTAATTTGACGCCATTTAATGACCTCCTAACCCTAGAAATCGAAGCAAGTAAACCAAGACGCTGTGGGAGCGTATATTTGGGCGTCGATGTACTACGCGTGTGTGATTTTTTTTGTATGTATTTAATAGGGATGTGTGAGTAGTGCAGTAGCGTTGTATATTTTAGGGGTTGGTTGAGATGCGTAAAGTGGAAGGCGTGGAGTCATATTAGACGTGAATTGGTGATACAATGACTGTAGTTTGTTAATTAGTGAAAATTGTTTCTCCTAGAATTTTATATGAAGCAACAAAAAATAATTACTGTGGGAGATAAAAGTGGTTCTAGGCGTTTTAGTGAGGTGGCTGTGGAAGTGCTAATTTGGTTATGAAGGGGTGATGTAGTTACAGTGTGTTGAAATGAAGTGGGGGTTGTGAAAAGTCTTACCAATAATCGAAAACATACTTGTACTTATTTCAGACGTTGTTAGGCTTCCTGTTTAGGATTGTTTTTCGCTGAATTTTGATAATATTTGTATAAAGAGAACATGGATAAGGCCAAAAGTTCATTTTGTATAGAGAAGGGGGTATGAAGATGTTGAGGCGGGGCAGTGAAATATTGTGCTCAGGGGCTTCAAAAAATCGGTGAGGTCAAGGGAAGAACGTCAAATCTGGCTATAGAACTAAGGGACTAATTACTCTTTACTTTTTACAATATCTGCCAAAAAAAACCCTCAGAGCATGTACAGTTGAACTTTTGTTCGGCTACATCACATAGGTGTGTGCAGATCCCTCCGTGAGTACATGGATTTTGATTGCAGCAATGGTTAATGGAAAGTTGCCATTTGCAAGCCTCTTTTGTAGATGCCTAATAGAAGTACAACAAGGGAAAGGTGTGTTATAAGTAAGTGCAGGTAGAAACTGTAATTATTATGATAAATGAATAGTTATAGTTTGACAATTTTCGCTCATCTTATTAATAGAATCGCTAGTCAAAGTTTTAAAAGGGTAAAGGCTTATTTCATTGTGGAAAGTGCACTTAGCTTATCCATGCTACAGGCACTCATTTCTGCGACGGTCTTAAGTTGTTGCTTTATTATCAGTATCATTATGGGAGCTCCACTTTTAGGTTTGCCAAAATCTTGATTTTTTAACGTAGCAAAGTTAAAATCAAAATGCGCCCACTCTTCCCACACTATCAGAAGAACCACATGTTTGATGGTGGGATATATTTTCTTGTAAGCCTGAGAAAAAATGGAAGCAAACTAAAAATGTTGCAGTATAAACAGAGGCAATCGGCTTTCGCATCCGTCAATTGTTCCCAAAGAAGATGTGGCTGTTTAAGTCAGCTTCTTATAACTAAATAAAATTAATATAAACACACACACACATGCAAATCCGAAATATGTACTCTCCGGCCTAAAACAATCCTTTTTTTATAAACTGACAGTGCCAAGAATAAAAAAGTATCTATGAAGGTATTGTTTCCTTTCCGTTGGTTTTTCTTGTTTATAAAATACGAGAAGAGGCTAAACAAGGGAGTTCTTGAAGTGACTGACTAGAGATGGTTGGTGAATGACCAACTTTGGCAATTCGTAAAACAACTGCATCATGTGAAGAACTGTAAGCCTCGTATGTCCAAAACGAGGACGATGTAATTAATAATTAACAAATTGAACGCACTTTTTGAGAGACACACAAAATTTGAAAACATGGCCTTTACGATGGGAAAAAGATGAGTATGAGAACTGAGGTGCGTGTTGAACAATTAAGTGTTAGCCTATCAAAACCATGAGGTCCTGACAAAACGCGATCATGACAACCTCAAGGCGACTCTCAATCCTTTCATTTGTTTTGGCAAAGGTGGAAACGCTAATAGCCTAAGGCCCCTAATTTACTTGTTTTTGGTGCACTTTAATGAAAGTCGTTACGATTTATTGGTTACCTGGTTGACGTATTCTCTACTCATATCAAAATAAACGTATCCATCTGCTTCGACAAAGTGTTCGGGGGCAGAAAATCTGTGTTCATCCAGCAATTCGCACTGATTTTTTCCTATTTGGTACGCCTGGCATTTACATTTCTCTTCGAAGCATTTTACATGACAGGCATACGCTTTCGACAGCGTATAATTTTTGAAGCTGTGTCCCTGTATAGCACATGTTTCATACCCGTTTCAGCAATACTTCCTCTGCTTTGTTCGCATCTTCTCTGACAGCCTGTGACTGTTAATTTCAAACTACAGACATCAAATAATATTAAAAAGAAAAGAAAGTTGTTCATCAGCGTTATTGTTTCAACGCAAGGTATAGAATCCAGTATTCCTTCCAGGGATATATACCATATATGCTTGGTATTTAAAAACAATGAACACATCAACGACGTATGTAACAAAGCTAGTCAAAGGGTTGGGGTAATTATGAGATTGAGAAATCTAATTCCTACCACGGCAAAGTTAGTACTTTTTAAATCAGCTATCTTGCCATACTTAACATACTGCCACCTTGTTTGGCATTTTTGTAGGGCAAGCGATACGTGTAGACTCGAAAGAATTCAGGAACGAGGACTTAGGGCTGTGTAAAAGGACACTAAGTCCAGTTATCATCAGTTATTGAATAGGGCTAATTTGCCAATACTGTTGAATAGACGTCTTCAAGACATATGCGTCCTAATGTACAAGGTTAAACACACTAAAATGTGTTCCGAAGCCATCACCAACATTTTTAAACCTCGTGGTTCATGCTACAGTTTAAGAAATTCAGACTTTCTTTTACCCAGGTTTAACACAGTTTCATTTGGTAAGCATTCCCTTCGATATTTAGGTCCCATGGAGCAAGCTGGACAAAAATGATAAAACGTGTAAATCATTAAGTGATTTTAGAAACCGAATGCGTAATACGGATCTGACATCTCTTATTGATGATGGATGCAAAGGATGTCTTCTGTGTGATACTTGATGTCTCATCGGAAACAATTTTAGCATTTTAGTACTCAGCTTTAGTATTTTAGCTAACAATTTGTAACATATTGTACGGATTTTTTTTATCTACTTAATTATTGTATCTATTATATTTTAACTGTAGGTGTCCCCTATTAGTAGAGGGCCTGCCCCTCGGCTAGTTTTTCTTTCTTGACACATAAATAAAGTTTCTATCTATCTAATATAAAAATTTATGTAATAAATGTTTACATTTACTAGAAAATGGCATTAGTTTAACCAAATGTCGAGTGCCAAATTATTTAAACAACTCACTACTCAGTTTGCACTTGTTACTTCTAGGAAAGCCCTCGTAACTGGGAATCTATAAGGATACGGAATCGGGACACTTCCTTTTTCTTTTAATGTTTCTTTACCGTTTTACTTACAAGTATGTGACTAAAACACGCATCGACCTAGATTTACAAGATGGGCTCGGTTTTAATTACATGTTTCACAAATGTCAATGATACTGATTTTAATTTACGCCAACCTAAGATGTGTTTGCCAACACCCAATCCATCAAAAAATTGAATTAATATAGTGAAACACCTGTCGCAAGAGATAAGATCTGTTGAAAGACGCCAATTCATTTAAAACTTGTTTTTTTTCTGAGATTTACAATAAAATACGCAAAAATAAACCCATATAGGTGAATCCATAAGTGGCAGGCGCATTAAAACTCGTCTAATCCAAGAAAAGCCTCAAGGTTTCCGGGTGCTGCACAGCAAGACCAGAGCACTGAGAACGTAAGCTTAGAATCCAGTGCAACATGCATAAGTCAGGTGGGATAAAGGAGGATCCACCTGGAAAGCCTTGCATTATCCGGGAACTACTCCTTTACAGTTGTGGTAATAAAGAAAAAACTCAAAAGTTCCAAGGTCTACATTTAAGATAGTTGAAAATGTTCAGAGAATGTCTGCGCTGGATTGATCTTTATCAAAGAGCCTAGTATTGTACCCCGAACCACCACTGTGTAGTAGAATCATTACTTTCTACACGTCTGTGAACCGGATTTCTTGCTTTATACCATCCAAAGTTATCTTCGCCTCCCGGGAACTTCACTGCACCCTCGGAAAGACTGGTACAGGGACATCCTCGGTCATTCGAATCACTATGCGCATGCCAATAATCCCTCTGGACGAAATGTGCCGTGTCGTTAGTACAGTTATTTCCGTGGACGCTAATAAATTCGAATTTTTTGCAAGTACCCAAACTGGAGCGCATAAGATCGATATCGCCTAACTTGGCCCTTAAGTAATCTTCGTATTTAAGTTCTTCAGTGTTAAAGTTGCAGGTTGCTCGCACGTGCGTTGAGCGTTTTACTGTGGCATTCATACGTGGCAACATAGGCGTACGGGCAATTTTCGGCCAGGGGGGGCGGTAAACCATTTGCCCAAAAAATTCTTGCAAGTTGCCCAAATTTTTACAAAACAGTCGAGAAGACACAAGGGCCATACGATGCAACAACATAGGCCGTACTGGCATACGAAAGTGCCGCAATACAGTTTTTCAGGGTCAATATATACCTGCCAAGTTTGAGCATAAACTATACGTTGCCATAAACAAACATTTGGAAAAATTGCCACCACAGTTGTATTAGATAAAGATGAAAATTTGTCATGATCAGGGTTGCAATGACATCGGAGTTGTCATAGCAACGAAATGACGCCATTACCTATTATACTTGCAGCATTATTTCTCAATATGAAATCGTTCTCGGGAGCTTTTTCCTCCAATAGTCGCCTCGTTGTTTGTGAAGTTAAAACGGAGTCTGTAAGAGCGTTATCGGGATAGTTTGGGATAAAGTTTTTATCGTTAGAAATACAGTAAAACAAGGAAAATCTTGTTGTTTAGCCGCTATCTGTAGAAAACGAAGCGCTTTTGACATGCAATTTCACCTCATAGTAGATTCAATCTTTTTAAAAATGTGTGTGAGTTATTTGTACATTGTATAGGTAATAGCATGATTTGTAGTGATATTTGGCATATATCACGAGTGATATTTCAAAACTGCTACAAAGAAGGATTTCATTAGTATGTATCATGGCGCTCTTGTTAGCGGTTTTGTAAACATTTCGGTCTACTTTAACAAATTAGGGAATAATTTGAACCACTTGATAGATTTTTTAAAAAAAACATTAAGATTCTTCTCGTAATTCAAAGTGAGAATTAGTCAGCCACTTCTTCACTTTCAGATCAATCGCTGATCCTATCTGCCATACACTGTTCTACGAGCGAAGATGATCCTAGAAAGTTAGGCGGAAGTTTATTCTAATCAATTCCCGATTGGAAATAGCCCATTGCAGCCCAGTGCCCAACGATAAAAAAAAACCCTTCCCTTATAAACAGAAACTCATCACGTGCTTGGCAACCATTGTCTCGAGTGAATGTAACTTGATTGTTACGCCGACTTCAGGTTAAAATAGAAAATATTTATCTCTCCAAAATACTCATGAAAAAACATGAAACGTCTTTAAAAGTTGGCCTTGCCCAAATTTTCTCTTGCTGCCCAAAAAATCTGAGTTGCCCAAAATTTGGGGGGGCTGCAGCCCCCTCGCCCCCCCGGCCCGTACGCCTATGCGTGGCAAAGATAAACGAAACTTGTTCCATGTAAAGGCTTCCTGGTTTAAGGGATGGTCTTCGTAAAACGCCTTATCCTTAAACTCATCATTATAGCGAAAACTGAAAGATTCGATCAGAGTCAAAACGAATCCCTTTTCAGAGGTGAAATCACAGAAGACCTCATACACGGAATTGTTTGTTGGGTCAAAGAGTTGATAAACTCCGGACGGGTCAGTTCCATCGTCTCTCTGCAGGAATTCTTTGCAAGATGTTGCTCTTCCGAAATACCCCATGGCGCATGTGCAGTTGAACTTGTATTTAACGTTGTCGCACAGCTCAGTGCAGGTGCGTCCGTAAGCGCAAGGACTCTGATTACAGCACTGGTAAATGCACGGTTGTTCTTCGCAAGCTTTTTCTGCAGTTGCCTATACAGTATAAACACCAATAAAAATTCTGTTAAAAGTGCACGTGGGAATAACGACAAAATCACAGTTATAATTTGATAGGTACACTTTGATACTGGTTTCTGAAGTTATTGCGTTCGAGGTACGAGAACGCAACCCCTAATTTGTGTTGGGTGCTCTGTGCATTATTGGGTGGCCTGTGAAATTAATAAAGGAGGTTTTTTTGAGATTGCATTTTCGTTCGTCGTCGTTGACACACATTTGCCTCGCTTTGAGGCGCTTGCTTAAGTTTTGCCTCACTTTGACGGGCTAACTCATGTGGTGATTCTTGTGTCCTCGGCGTTCATCTTTCAAAGGTTTGCTAAGGTCTGATATTCTTCGTAAAGCCTTCATCTTTTAAAAAGTTTGCTGAATCTTCGTCAAGCGTACATCGATCTGTGATTGCTGAATCGTCCAAAGCGTTCATCTTTCAGAAATTTGCTGTTAAATTTTACTTTGGATTAAGCTTTCATATTTTTCAGCATGGTTCGTCACTGTCTTTGGAAAATGTCTGCGACTACTGGTGCATGCATCAAACCGGGTTTAGTTCGGCGGCCGTTATGCCACAAAGTAAATTTTAAAATACCGAGTTGTGTAGCTCGGCGGCCGTTTTGTCACAAAGTAAATTTACGAGTTGTGTAGCTCGGCAGCCGTTGTGCCACAAAGTAAATTTACCGAGATGTGAAGCTCGGCGGCGCCATTTGACCATGGCTTGTGATATTTTCGGCACCGGACAAACGAACGCTTTAACTCTATGTTATTTATTAGGAAAAACTTATAAATCAGCCCACAGTAGCGGCACTCTCGAGTCACTGAAATCAACACGCTCGACCAAATTACTGGAAAAGTTATTGACGTGAGCCTCACACACGTTCCATTTGAGGCTTTGATATGGTTAGTGCGAAGTTTGAATTCAGATCGATGTGAAAGCTTTTAAATCAGTAACTTCAATGTAATTCATTTTGTCAACAAGTTGATGATTGGATGCTCTTAAAAATAACAGAGAAAATTATCCGAAGAAATGTTTTTGAAGAAAGAAAAAGAATCCCGGGTTAAGCACTAATCGGCCTTTGAGAAACTGCGCCCTGTAACTCGCGCCAGTAAAACAAATTGTTTCATTTACACGTCCGACGCTGGCCAATGTCTCCTCCGATTAATAGCACTTGACACCGAACCATACGATATCTTTTGAAAACGTTCTTAAAATGATACACAGTTTAGATAGAGATTTCGCTGTACGCAACCCTTACGTTCAAAATATGCCATGATCTTATTTATCTACCTCGCAACCACCCTTCCGCCTCAACGAACATATCGAACGCACTCTCCTAAGCTCCGATTACTCCTCGTTTTAGATTAAATGCACGGAAGGTCAGAATTGGCTAGTAATCAATAACCGTTCGGCAACGACATTAGTGAGACCGCTAGATCACTTTGTACCCGGATCAAAGAACATTAATTCCCTTCAAACTTCTGCCTTTTTCGAGGCTGCCGGGCAACAGTTCATAACATCAACCCACACAATCGATCGATGTTACTGTCAAACTCAGAAAACCGTGAACACCCGAAAAATTTCAAAAATGTTGATTGTGTAGTGACCAATCACAATAAAGTTCAGGACACGCGAGCAAACCACAAAACCCCAAACTTATTACCGTTGCTGTTCGCAGTTGAGTTTTCTCACACCTTATTGGCTATTTCCTCGCAACATAATAGCATTCCTTAAATATTTTTGGTGTTCACAGTTTCACATCAAAATTTTATTTGACAAAAATCATAGCTTCCAGTGCCGTGGCAAGCCGAGTCAAGTTTGCGCGGCGTCGAGTTTTAGCGATTTGAACGAAATACATGATTTGTGAAATTGTTGCTCTGACTTTTGAATTTTTTTTCCTAAATGGAATGAAATAATCATTTTTTTGTGTAATTCTTCTTTGTTTCAGCATTTAAACTTCTAATATGTTCTATGTTTTTGGTTTTTACATAATTTGCTCGCCTTTCCTTTTTTATCAGGAGTTTCACTTTCACAGGTACTCTCACCAAACCAGCTTTAAGTATTCCTTTCAATTTGTTTTTTCAGAAAAAAAAAAATTGAAATAAAAACTAATATAAGGCTGATGTATATTTTTAAAAAAATTAAATAAGCAAGTAATAACTTTGGCGTATTCTTAAAGAGAAAATGGAAACTCCCAATGAATGTTAAAGACCAGTAAGAACAATACCGTCCTGTACTTCACCATCAGCACCGATAAATGTGGAAAGGTAAAATGCAATCATTGGTCTAAACCTCGACCGGATTAAAAAAAAAACAGTTATTTTATTTCCTTTGATGAAGGTCAAAACGTCAAGTAGCTTCGAATTTTGGGCTTCCAGTTCAATTTATTTCATTTTAACGGGTATTAAAAGGCAAGATTCATTAGTTACCTGGTCGAGGTATTCTCTGTTCATATCAAAATATTCGTATCCTTCTTCCTCGAGAAAGTCTTCAGGAGAAGAAAATCTGTCTTCATCCAGTAACTCGCACAGATTTTCTTTCATTTGGAACGCTTGGCATTTACATCTTTCAAGGAAGTATTTTACATGGCATTCATATGCATTGGACAGCGTATGATTTTTAAAACTCTGTCCTTTTATACCACGATTTTTCATACCCATTTTACCATTACTACGCGTGCTCAGTTCGCATCTTCTCTGACACTTTGCAGTCGATGTCAAACTGGAGATATAAAAAAACAAAGATATGAAAAGAAAGTACTTCGCTAGTGCCATAGATTTAACGTGAAATATGGACTTGGGTACTCTTCCTTAAGAGTTGAATATTGTTAAATGGAGAGTTTTCCTACAAAACAGGTGTTCAGTATATGTAAGAAAATATAATTTAGTATATGAGTAAAATCTTATCAAAATTGTCAATTATCCAGCAGGTTGACAAACTGATTGAACTCAGTTTCTGCTTGTTATTTACCGGCCCCAGTCGGCTTTCTAGTGACCAGTATTTAGGATATATTATACAACTCATTGTCACAACAAAGGTGTTCCTCCTAGCCTCGTTTTGAAAGTGAGAGTTTTTGGAACTCGGAAATGACCAATCAAAACCGCACCAGGACAAGATTTTACCGGAGAATGCTTTTTTAATTTTAGCGAATGCCCCGCAAAGATTGGTTGACTTTCATCCATGCAAATTGAAAATTTATTTCCAAGAACCCAACAACGGAGCTTTAGTCAATGATTTGACCTGTAACGCACTTTGGGTGTACACGTATACTCAATTTTCTGAAGCCATCATTCCCAATTTCATGGGTGCGGTTGCGAAAGAGAGGAAAATACCAGGACTCAACTCCTGTGGAAATAATATAAAGTTATTTAGGAAAAGTAGGTTGAAATCCATCCAGCGATATATATGGCCGGAAACAGAATTTAAGATGGTTGAAACTTAAAAATGAAAATCAAATTTCAAGACTAGAATCGCTACGTGGGATCCTCGCCCTATTATTCATATTTTACTTCTGCTGTGATAATTATCTTTAATTTGAATGAAAATGAAAAAGGATACTGATACTTAATGTTCAATTTCACTCCAACATGTCTGGTAGTGAAACAATCTGTAATAAAGGCAGCTTTTCATCGGAAATTGAAATATTTAACAGGATCCTAATGGGTAAATAACAGGCTTAGCTTCCGCAGTAAAAATTTGATATTGGGTTATTCCACATTAAAAATGTAATAAGGCTACGCTCATGAAAATTGAATATAATAAATGTTATGTTTTTTTTTTATTTACTAGGTAGGCATACTCATTATAAGGTAAACTGAACATATCTTAGTCTACCATGGCGCTCTTCGCAGCTGGCAAATAGACCAGAATATTTTGGCATAAATTAAGTCAATCCTCTAAACTTATTTAATCTGGGACAGGGTGTCAAAAAAGTTTAAGCTATGACCAACAAACTTGACAACTTTTCCTTTCCTACGTCAACATCAATGTTACCATGGCAACCGAGTTTCGACAGTTATGTTTTTCAAAATCTGGTATTTTCCTTTGAAGAAAGATACATATTTCTATTTTTGCTTTTCAGATTATAGAATTACAATAAAATTAGCAACATTTTATCAAATTAATTATAACTGTTTGTGTGATCTAGGCTATTTAGTGACTGATTTGAAAAAAAAACTTGAATGTACAATCACCAATTAGCAGATGCTAGGTTCAGTTTTTAACAGTATGAATTTCTCTCGGAATTTCACAATTGGCGGATTTTTTTGCTCCAAACCATCCTTTTATACATCAAGAAATGGAACAAATTCAGTTAATTCAGAATGGCGGATTCAAGGTGGTGGATGGTTCCAGTTTACTTTGAGAGTAAAAATTAATGGAATTTGGACTCCGCCAATAAACTCAACAAAATGACGTAATAATGACATCATACTACGCCATTGTGTCAATCAAGTTATTCCTGGATGGAAGAAATAATGATTACCGTAAAATCCCGAAAATAAACCCCTTCATGTATAAGCCCCTCCAAATATAAGCCCCTCAAACCGGTAACGTAAAAAAACCCTCCGTTAAATCGCCCCTCCGAATATAAGCACCCCGGGGGCTTGTAATTGGAAAATTGCCCTCAAATACAAAGTAAAACAAAGCAAAAACGATAAATTTACTTCCAACTACAAGGCTAGCCCAATCGATTTTGAGACGCAAATTTCCCTCCGTAGATAAGCCCCTCCGAAAATAAGCCTCTCCAAAAATAAGCCCCTCAAAAAGGGGCCGTTGAAAAATATAACCCCGGGCTTATTTTCGGAATTTTACGGTATATAATCTGTGTAATTTTGGTAGCCGTAATATGAGCAATTTT